TTAGAACACAATGCTGTGCCAGACTGTTTCTGAAGGGTTACAGCCGTGTCTAAATTGAATAAATGTGAAACAAAATTCATCAAAATAAGCAAAGGGAAGGTCTGCAGGAACTAACGGAGGCATGGATTTTCCCCCTGACCCCTTCCTACCAGCTATGGCCAATGTGGTCTCAGGCTCAGGAGGAGGAGAGGAGACCAGGAACGAAATGTGGTGCTTGGCTTCCAGCTGGAGAGGCACAGGCAGCCATTCCCCAGCCTCCCTGAGGCAGGAAGGAGCCAGCGGCTCTCCCTGTCTGCAGGGAAAGGGACGGCAAACCTGCCAGGGATCACAGTGGGAACAGTGAGAGAGTGACCCTGGGAATGAGCACGGCTTTCTGGGGAAGGTGGACCCCAGGCCAGCCCTGGGGGATCTGTCAGGATTGCAAAACTGGAGTGCACAGAAAGGGCATTTCTAGTCTCTGTTTCAAAATAGGGCTGGATATCAAAAGGATGGATTCCTTGGGGGGAAGATTGAACAACAACAGAATACAAATACATGCAGGCACTGCACACTGCTCGTATTTAATATGGAGCTACATAACAAGAAAAATGTTCTCCTTTATTTTTCTGTTAGTAAAGCTGCCAGTTTCTTGACGTTTCAGAGAAATGAAACATCTGCCAATAATTCGCAAGCGCAGAGACTCCTCAAGTGAACTCGTAACAACAGTTTATTTAAGTACCCAGAGAACATCACATAAGGAACAATAATGAACTCTGCAAAGGAGGTTTTGGGCAATACAGTTCCAGATAAAAATTTAAAATTTTAAAGTCAATAAATGTTGGTTATTGGTTGAGCAAGGCACAGACCAACACTCTGTTTAGTAGCATGTCTGTTCTCTGGTCAGTGACCCAATGGGTCAGAGAAGGGCTGCAACCACTGGTGTAACCTCTGTTCCCAGGACGGGTCCAAATTGAGGTGTGTGGGTCTACGTGTGTGCACATCCTCATGTGTGTGCTGCTGAGGCTGGAATTGGAGAAGCAAAGGTAAAGCCTAAGGAACAAACACCCCACATCGCTGTCCATGGGAGCAGCATTACAGAAATTACAGAAATTACACATCTGCCCTGGGTGCAGAGGGCTGGGAGTCTCTGTGGCTTCCTTATGCCAAGATTTACTGCCTTGGAATGATGTCACTAAAAGGTTTTTGTACTGTAAGTCAAAAATTTTCAATAGTAATTGAAGACTGGAGGGAGGTAAATCACTGAAAACTTGTTTCACCAGCAAGTTACTTTTGTGCTGCAGAAGAACACGTGGGGAACATAAACCCACCCAGCTTCTCTGAGTTCTCTGTAAATTATTCTCACCTCTGTGTAAGGGTAAGATATTGTACTACAGCTGTCCTGGTGACTTCATACTCCTGCACCAAGAGGTTTCTTAATTTTGATTCACTGGAGGCACTTTGGAGACACTACACTACCCATATTTATGATTTTCTTTTCCACGTCATCTAAGTGAGGCTTTTCTAGTCCAATACTTTTCATCTCTACTGTGTCTATTGGGGGTGCACTATTCTAGTTTTCCCTTTAATTTATTACCCAAGCACGCTTTCTCCTTATTCCAGAGGGGCAGGGTAGTGCCTCAGAAAGTGCACAGAAGCAGTGAACACTGGTGTGTAGCACAAGGCAGCCTAAGAATAACAGTTTGGTTGGGATAATGAGGAAAAGCTGTGGGAGGCAGCAGTAACCAGCGTGGTGTCCTGCAGGCTCCTGTCTCGGTGGTGGGAGGGCCAGGTTGGCTGCTCCTCCAGTCCCTGGAGCCTAATGGGCTCACAGCCTGGCCACAGCATCCAGAAGAGTACAAACCAGCCTCTCTCGCCTATGTGCATGTTTCTTTCCCCTAAATTACCTGGTCTTCCTTGCCGTTGAGTCCTCCCTTCCCTGTCACAACTAGGTGGGAGCAGTGACATGTCCCAACCTGCACAAGCACCACTGAGGCTTGAAGTGCCTCTGACTCATCCAGCTGCTTCTGCCTCAGTGGAGAGTGGTATATAATGCTTGTGCTTGGATTCTTTTTGAATCTTTGCCATTATCTTAAATGCCCCGCAGGAACAATTCCTCTTTTTCCTATTCAGGCTGTTATGGTTGGAAAGGGCTCCGTTAGTTCAGCATTTAGGGGACATTGACAAGGAAGGTGTATCCCAGACATCTCACAGCTGGGATGGCACAAAACCAGGAGTACCACCAGGGTAATTCCTTATGTGACTGGCTAAGGGCTTATGCTTGCAACTGGCTTCAAGGAATGGAGGCAAAACCGTTGGACTCATTTTACTAAAGATTAATGGTGAAAAATGATTGATTCTGCTCCTGGCGAGCTCCACAGGACTGTGACAACATTTGAGCTCTCCATGGCTCCTAGAAATCACCCGGTGTTGACTTTTTTGGGGGGCAATGAAACAAAGGACCAGCTGTTACTTTTGGGTCTGGAGGGAAATTTTTAATGGAATGGCCCCTATCTCTCTGAAAAATGTTGTTTGCTGCAGTTCTGAGCAGTCACATGGGACATTCTGAGCCAAAGGATTTTATCAGGAAAAGTATTTTCTTGGTGCCCAATGTTTTTGACAGCACTTTGTAAAGAATGATTTTGGTACGGATCCAGCAAAGCACTTAAGTGAATCCTTAACCTTAAGCACGGGAGTATTTCCTAGATTTCACTGGGACTGTTTATACACTTCGAGATGAAGATGCATTGAAATCTTGTGCTGGATCAGATCTCCTCAGCATCTCCTCCTGCCTGAATCAGAGCTCACTCTGCTCCTGATGAGGCCAGACAAAGCACCTGTTCTGTGACACACACTGGAGTCGTGTTTTTAAATTGACTTGAACTGTAAGACCAAACTGCTCATGACACCCACAGCTCAGACCTCAGCCTACGGGAAAGGTCCCTTATAAATACTTGTAGGGGACTTTAAATTCACCCTTTATAAACCATTTACAGAGACAAATTACCTCAATAAGTGTTATTGGGAGAATGGGAAAATAAAATTGAAACCCATATTAAATTCAAGTTGACAAAAGGACATCTCTAGAACTCAGTGCGATGACTTTGGCAACCAAGTATAAAGTTTAAAATACATAGAGCCTTAAGCACCAGCACGTGCAGTCGTGCACATGCACACCCGGAAAATCCATTCACATTCCATCCATTTTAAACGAAACATTTGAGGACCAGGTAAACAAAATTCTTGCAAGATGTCTGTTCAGGAAATTAATTTAATATATCTTCATCATGGATCATCAGTCATAACTGAAATACTGGCTCTGCAGGCTGGGAAGAACACGAACCATTTTTTAGTGTCACTTTCTACGCCTCTGCTCCCATCAACATCCCACAAACCCCACAGTAATGTTCAGACTGGGGGAAAATCCAGGGCCTCGTGGATGCTGCAGAGAGAGGAGAGGACAGGGGAATGTGAGCAGTAGGATCAAAGCCAGAGACAGAGCCAGGAGCCAGAAGTTGATTTTCACCATCTCAGGTGTTAGCTCTGCTGCTTCAGTGTTTTAGGGGCTACAAGACTTGGTATTAAAGCCCAGCTTGGTGTTTCACCCACACGGAGAGCTGACGAGGTTTCTCTGCAAACGCTCTTCCTCGCTGGTGGCCAGGCAGAGCTGGGCAGAGTCTTTGGCCCATCAGAGCCCGGGGTGTGGCAGCCCCTGCCCACGGCCGTCCTGCCCCCGGCAGGAGCCAGCGGCAATGACCCCGTCCCAACCGGTGCACCGGCCCTCCTCCATCCTCCTTCTCCAGCTGCTCTGCTATCGGGACATGAGGTTCTTCAGTCACGCAAGCAGGATGGAGGACATCGCCAAATTTTGCTTGGCTGGACTTTGATTTTTGTTTTTATCTTCTGCAGCTTGTAAAAAGGCTTTTAAAAGACTGGACAAGTCTCTCTGTTTTCCCCATGGGCTCCGCTTCTTTATGACTTTTTCCCCTCTGTCTCCAAAGGAGCTGAAAATAACGGGCTTGCGTTAAGTTCCCTCGAATGAAAATTATTCCATTCCCAAATTGCCTGAGGACGGTGCCTCCCAGAAGTTGATTTAGGGCTGTTATTGCAGGACCAGCAAGGGGAGCTCAAGCCTTGTTTACGGTAGGTCCTGCACTAATTGTCTCTGGTAGCGAGGGGATTTCCATCCCGGTGCGTGATCCGCATAGGGATACCCACGGGATGGATCGTGCTGCGGGGGGTGGGAGAGGGCGGCCGGTCCTCGGGCAGGAGCGAACAGAGACATGGTGCAGGGGTCGACCAGGGCCCAGCCGGGGAGAGACGCCGAGCGCCGACACGTCAGCGCAAAAAAGAGCGTTTTTCTGCCCAAGTCCGCCCAGCTGCGCCAGCTGCCAGCCGGGGGGAGAGCGGGGTGGCAGCCGGGCCGGCCCGGAGCGGGGCGGGGATCTGCACGGCCCCGCGCTCTCGGCAGCCGGGGGGAGGCCGGGGCAGCCACCGCCGCGCCCCCGCCCTGCCCCGCTCCGCCCAGCCGGGCCGCGGGGGCCGGGGCGGGCGATCGCCCGGGGGCCGCGGTGGCGGGCGCTGTCCCCGCCGGGCCGGGCCGGGCCGCCTCGTCCCGCTGCCATTCCCCGCTGAGGCGCCGAGCCCGGGCACTGCGGCGGGGCTGCGGCTCTGCGTCCGCGCTGCGCCGGGGCCGCCGGGGGACCGGGCGGGCGCTGCTGCCGCCGCGGCCGTCACGGGGTTAATCGCGGCGGAGCCGCGGCGCGGGGCGGTCTCCCCGCCGCGCCTCCCGCCCCGCGGCCGCCCCCGCCCGCCCCTCGCTCCGCCGCCGCACCTGCCCGCGCCCCCGCAGCCAACTTTCCCTGCCTGTTGCGCGCACCGAGCATCGCGCCCCGCGGCCGCGGCGATGGGCGTCGCGGGGCAGCGCCGAGGGTAGGCGGCCCGCGGGGTCGGGCCGGGACCGCCGCCGCAGCTCTGCGCGCCCGCCGCGCCTTCCTCCGCCGCCGCTGCCGCGCTCGCTGGCCATGGAGGTGCAGCTGGGGGTCGGCCGCGTCTACCCGCGGCCGGGTGGCAGAACCTTCCGCGGGGCTTTTCAGAGCTTCTTTCAGAGCGTCTGCGAGGCTTTCCAGCCGCCGCGGGAGGAACCGGGCACGGGGCAGCTGCCGTCGAGCGCGCCCTGCCCGCCGAGCCCCCGGCCGCCGCCGGGCTCCCCCGCCTGCCTGCCGCCCCCCGAGCCCCGCGCCGCCGGGAAGGCACTGCCGGCCGCCGGCCCCGCCATCGGCTCGTCCTTCCCCTGCGCCGGCGAACTGAGGGAGCTGCTGGGCGAAGCGGGATCGATGCCGCTGTTGCCGCCGCCCGAGGCCGAGCCGGCGGACAAGGACGACCCGCTAGGCGACAGCGCCCGGCAGCTGTGCCGCGCCGTGTCCGCCTCCATGGGGCTGGCGCTGGAGGCGCTGGAGGCTCCGGCCGAGCCGCTGCCCCGCGAGGACTGCATGTTCGCCGTGCCCGCCGGGCCGCCCCGCGCCCCGCACCCGCCCGCCCGCGACCCCCCGCCCGCCTTCGCGGCCGCCCTGGCCACCGAGCCGCCCGCCGGGCCGGGGCTGCCCCGCGGCTTCGGCCGCGTCAAGCTGGAGAGCGCGGCGGGGCCGGGGCCCGCGGCGGGCGGCGGCTGGGGCGGTCCGTGCCGCTTCGGGACCGAGCTGGTCCCGCCGGGCCCCGCGCCCCCCTGGCCCACCTTCTTCGCCGAGGAGGGGCAGCTGTACGGGCCGTGCCCCGAGCCGCCCGCCGACTGCCCCGCCGACGCCTGGTACCCGCCAGGCCGGGCGCCCTTCGCCGCCCCCGCCGCCGGCATCAAGAGCGAGCTGGAGCCCTGGGTCGAGGGCTACGCCGGCGCCTACGGCGACCTCCGGTGAGTACCCGCGTCCCACCGGCACCGGCATCCTGCACCCTGCATCCCACATCCCGCCGGCCGGCACCCCGCGTCCTGCATCCCACCGGCACCCTGCACCCCTCACCCCGACCCTGCACCGCGCCCCTCCGGCCGCCCCTCTGCCTCCGCAGCTGCCCCGCGCACCCCGCGACTCCAGCCCCGCTCTGTCCTCGGTGCCCCTCTCCGCTGCCGCACCTTCCCTTTTGCCGGGACGCTGTCGCTTGGGACTGGCTAGGCGAGATCGTGCCAGGAGTACCTTGGAGTACCCGGTGCCCGCGCTGTTTCGTGAGATCGTTGTGTTTATCGCATTTCTTCACGCTCCCCGCCGCTGGGAGTGGGCAGGATCGGGATGCTGTGCCTGAAGCACGGACGGATCTTAAGATCTAGTTAAAATCCTCCCAGTGCCCGGAATGCGCTGTGCATAGCAGGGAACCCCGAATGTAGCGGCAAAAAAACATCACCTGTGCTTCCGGGCTGTTTTAAGTACAGGTAGAAAATGTGTTTTAAAGTAGAGCTAGAATGGGTTTTGGGAATGCAGCAGGGAAGGAGAAGTTTGTTTGAGAAGTAGGATTTGATCAAAAGTAATTTTTCCTGGTGAATTAACCTCAAAAAAAGGCGGTGAACCACCTCTGTAAAATCGTGTATAGCATCTAAACCAGTGGGTACCTGCGTGCTCACCTGTCAGCACGGCAAAGCACGGCCGTGTTGATGGAAACGGGAGGGAGGCAGGGCTGCACAAGTGATTTTTCTGCTGCCTCAGAGGCAGCCCCAACCACGAGTGTGTGAGGCCTCAGCTGAGGTTTGCAGTCAAGGAAGTCCTGCATCCACATGCTCACCCTGTGGTGCTCGGGATGGTGGGAGCAAAGGCTGAACTGAACAACTACATTTTCCCGCTAAATTAGCACGGGACGACTGTGCTGCCTCTGGGCTTGTTTGTGCATTAAATGTTCATGGCTTCGTTTGGGCACTGTGGCAGTTTCCATCCATGCAGTGATTTACTGGGGGATCATACAGAGAAGTTGAGGGCTTGGCAAAAAATAAAGGGATAAAATTAAAGATAGGTCAAAAAGAATCCAGCTGTGAGCATCGTCCAGCTGTGAGCTTCGTACATGGCAGGAGCTGTGCAAGTCCCAGGTATGCCTCTGGACTCTGGATAAATCTCTGCTGGAATCAGCACAGAGGGAGCAGGGAGGAATCAAGTTGGAAAAGTTCAGCGTTCCAGATACTGGTGATGGTGGTGCAGGTTTGTGCTGACAGAAGGCTCGTCCGTGCAACCGTTCTGCCTGCAGAGCCTGTGCAGGATCCTGCACGGACAGGGAACGTTGTGCTGAGGAGAGCAGGTTTGGGCTCCCATGGAGGTCCGTGGGCAGTTGTGGGGGCTGGACCAGACAGCAGCAGGTACATTTTGCCCGAGTCATGCCTTAGAGATAAATGACATTTCCCTCATTCCTGAGGCAAGTGCTGTATCCTCCTCTTCCTTGCGGCTCTGTTCAGTGTGCCGTGACTGCGTCCTGCTTCCCCTGGCAGACTTCTGTGGGATCAGAGGAGTCTCGGAGCTGGCACAGTGACCTTTTCAACACCAATATCTTGTCCTTTGAACTCCAATGCTTGTACAGCACTACCCTGCTGCTGCGAAGGTATGATGGGCTGACGGGATTTATCCTTTCTCTGTTCAGATGCAATTTTCAAACACCGTAAGGAAAGCGGAATGCTCTGTCGTGGTCTGGCTCAAGCCGTGTGTGTTAATCACTGCCAGGTTTAACACTTCATCCTAGCAAAGCCTCCATTAGCTTTACAGTGTGCTGCTGGCCCATTCCTGTGGCTTTGTGTTTTCTCCTGGATCTGTGGCGATGCCAGCACAGGAACAGCTCTGCTGCTGCTGGAGCCTGGTGGGTCCTGTACCAGCATTACAGGCAACAATGCCTGCGAGGAGAAAGGGTCATGGGAGCTAAGGGGCTCTGTAGTAAAATTACCTGATGGAAGGATGATTGGCTCTGGACCTGCACCCCCCTGCTTGTGTCTGGTGCTGGGTCTGAGCTCCTGTCCTACATGGCATTGCCCAGCGAGCTTCCCCCTCTTGGCCTCAGAGGATGCAGCCTCAGCGCTCTGTGAGGGCAGTGGGGGGCACTCCTGGGTACTCACCCAGCCTGAGGCGATTGGTGCTTCTGCTCCCTGCGCCTGGAGGTGCTGGCGAGGGCAGTGGCACACACAGCCTGCTTTGGAGAATAAGGAGCATTTCAAGGTGTGTTGCTCTCACTTGCTTCCCTCTCCGAATGGTCCCACTGTCTGCCAGCAGGATCGTGGCTCTTCCGGGTGAAGCTCTCCCAAGCTCAGCTCTGCCTGTTGCAGTTGTGACCAGGTATGGATAGGTATTTTTTGAGTTTGAGTCAAACACCCCTCATATGACACTGAAGCATGAGCAGTTTGTTAATATTTGGGGGGAATTGGGATGGCTGCTGCTCCTGGGCAGGTCTGTAGCCACTTCTGCCCCTTTGGATGGCAGGGTGGTGCCTGGATTTAGAGGTGCGGACACATCACACAGAAAGACTGAGGACATTAATACAATTTGGGTTAATTTAAAGCTTTTGGTACAGTGTCCCTCATTGGGCCAGTTGTGCCTACATGTAATTAGCAAACTAATCCCAGCTTTTGTCACCCCATAGACTCTGAGCTGTTCATCTTTGTGCTCTGGTTGTTGCATCATTACTACCAGCAGTCTTTGAGGTGACTGAAAAACCTTTTTCAGGAGCAAGACACAGCACTGATAGAATAAATCCAAGGTTCCACCATCAGAATGACTTGGAAGATGAATCACAGCAGTGGGTAGGGAGGGCTGGCCTCTGGTTTAAGCTGAAATGGAATCAGAGAAGGAGCTGCTACCAAAACAATGGAATGAAAGAGGAGAAAAGGATTTAAGGATCTCTTGGCTCAGGAAAATCTGCAGTCCACGTAGCTTCAGATGTTTTTAAGTGGCATTTGCTATCACTGGTATTACCTGTTGCTGATACTGGTTGGAATCCTGGTGTTTGCTGGTCACACCTACCTGTGGCTCCTCTTCCCAGTCCAGCTGTGATCAGGTTGGGCCAGTGCCACATGTTTATGCATCGGCTGACTCGAGGGCTCTGTAATCATTTCAGCTCTGTAACTGTGCTACAGCTTACAGATAACACCTGCAGTAATTCCTGCCTGTGGAGGGAGGAGATAAGATTCTGACAAAGAGATGAAGGGATGAAGGGCAGCTGTTGACCCTGAGAGATGAGATGAGGCAGGAGGCTGCTCTCAGGGCTGCCCTCACTCCCAGTCCGTACCCAGCAGCAGCTGCCCCAGCATCCCTGTCCCAGGAGGGCTCTGGGGACCCCCAGCTCTGTGCTGACAGGACTGCAAAGCCCTTGGGAAGGGGCTGACCCTCCTGTCTGCTATTGTCAGTGTGACCTTTCTGCTCTGGGGATTGGCCATAGGATGTAAATATTTCTTTTGGAAGCAAGTGGAGGGTGGCAGGATGCTGTGTGGGCAGCAGATCCCTCCGGCCCATACAGACCCAGGGACAGGGAGCCTGGCAGAGTCAAGCTTGTTGTTTGTTTTCTCTTCTCCATTTATCAGGAACCAACAAATTTCTTCCTCAGCACCTCTCAATCCTTTCCCTGCCGAGGGGCAGGGGACAGCTGTGTTAGACACAGAGTAACAGCAGCACTGGGGCTGGACCAGGGAACTCGGGGCTCAGAGGGGTGTGAGCTGCCGTGTTACCAGGCTGTGGCAGGGTGCTCATCTCTCACGGCTGGAGCTGAGGTTGTGAAACAAGTGATGTGCTGAGGCCAGGTAACTGGAGCCATCAGGACGCTGGAGTTGTGCTCAGCAAGGAGAACCCTTCGGGCCGAGGGGAGCAGCCGAGCGGGCGCTGCCCCACACTGCTCTGGAGCAGGCACTGCAGGACTCTGCCTCCTCCCGAACATACACTGAGCCTCATAAAACGGTCTCCTCCTTTTCCCCTCCCTCCCCCATCTGTCCCTCCCTCTCTTCCCTGCTCTCTCACGCTCCAGCTCTGCCTTTACCACTGGGAAGGAGAGATGGGTCACCTGTCAGGGGCTGGGCTGTGGAGGGCAGACACGTGGGGTGTCTGTATGTGTGTCCCATCTTCCTCTGGGCTGTCCCATCCTCTTCTTCACGTCTTGAACTTTTGAGCTCTCATGCCCTCTGGAAACTAGTTCCATAGTCTCATGCTTGGTATCAGCAATGATTATTCTGCCCTAGTTTCTTTCAAGTACTGGCTGCAGTGCAAGATCAGGCTCTATGGGGCACTTGGTGTTGGAAGCAGTGGCTGAGAAATCAGAAAATTTTGCCAAGGAAATAATCCACAGAAAGCTTGAAGGACACCAGTGGGTTGGAGTCACATAGGCATTTTGTGTGCTCTATTCTGTATTCCCGAGGCTTCCGAGCAGGAAGTTGTACAGGATCTGCCCATAACAGCTCTCCTTCTTCTTGTGCAGCTTTTACATTCTTCCTGCTATTTACAGATTCCTTGGTATTTATTTATTGCACAGATGAGCTGTGCTTTGCATTACTCCTTGCAGCCAGTCTTTGGCATGACCACTGGTTTTCTTGTTAGGAGAACTTCATTCCAGCTCAAAAGCCAGTTAACAATAAGAAGTGCTTTGGTGCTGCTTAGAGGACAGAAGTATGTTATCGAAGTGTCAAAATGCTGATTGAGAATAAGAAATAAAGTGTGTTTTGTAGTCCAGGGGACAGGAGTCACCCCTGGGTCAGTAGTCCCAGGGTGTCATTCCCTGGGACAAGATCTCTGCCATGGGGATGGGTAGCAGCTCCCAGGGCAGGAACCCCACCATGGGTATGGGTGTCAGTGGGTGTGGAGCTGGGACTGTGTCCCAGAGCCACAGAACCCGCGATTCCTGGAAGTCACTGCCCCTGGTCCCTTTCTCAGAGTGAGGAAGGTGTGGGACAGCCCTGGGAAGGATCAAAGCAGA